TTTAGTGTCCAACCATCATTCGTTTCGTCGTTTTTATATACAGGCAAGTTATAATAATTTACTCAAATATTTCCGTTTTTGTTTAAAATATTTCTTTTATTTTCCCTTCTGCGTCCCGTATTGCCCCATCCGTCTAACCCCTAGTACCACCGGTATCTATTAAATTCTGGGACTTTGGTTTCGTAGTGAGCGCTATAGTAGACTGTTTCTCAATCTCTGTTTCTAACTCAATTTACAAGCATTCCTCTCTTATCATTAGTTCACTTGCGAGTGTTACTCGTGTGCATAAACCAAAATATGTATTTACAGACTTACTTAGATAATCTTTCGAATCTAATCATAGATGACTCGTAAGTAAACGTAAGATATTACAATGACCAAAAACAACAACCGTGCAGAGGTATGTCAAATATTATGAAAATAGTTACAACCTGCTGTATTGCGGTACATGGGGATGAAGTCCTAACGATGTTGTCAGTGTATTTAAACACTGACGCTAATTTTGGCTGAATGATGAGTAAGTTTATATCGAAGAAACTTTCTATGCTATAAGATACGACAGCATCACATTTTTATTAATATGCATTGTGCTATGAAAAAATTTCAGAATATGTAAAAAGTGGAAAAATCATCCCTTCCAGAACTGGAAAATGTTGTTCGAAATTGTTCAGATGCAAGTGAAGCCAAATTTAAGGAATCGCATTTATTTTCAGAAACAAGCAACAATTTAATTTTCAAAAATTATTTTTAGCAAACCTGTGAAGTTATTTTGCACAAAATGCAGTTCCGAAAAAGTTTTCGTCGCATATTGTTTTACCACACCGCTCACCCTGGCGAATAAGCAGAGTGCCCGCATATTTTACCACGAAGGGGATGTTGTGGTTAGACGACTTGTCTAACTATCAGTGTAGAGCGTAACCCAATGTAAAATGTCACAATGATAGAAATGAGCAAAGTCTCGAAGGTATGTAAAATATTACGGAAAAAAGTTACAACCTAAGTCTTGTCATACACGAGGGTAAATTTCTACCGGTGTTGTCAGTGTATTCGAGGCCTAGGGATGATCAAGGAAAAAGGAGGCGAGAATCCGAAAGGTCACAAATAGTCTGGGACCGCGCCACAGTACCCCCCAGGCTAGACCGAATGCGGCG